AGAGAGAGAGAGAGAGAGAGAGAGAGAGAGAGAGAGATCAAAATCAAATAATTCTTGAATTCATTTATTATATAGCCAGACAGAAAGGCAGATTAAACAATAAAGAGATAGATAAATAGATAGATAGTAGTGCTGTCAAACAATTAATCGCATCCAAAATAAGGTTGTTTACTTTTGTTTGTATTTATATATACATAATAAATATACACAGTACACACACACATATTATGTAAACAAAAACTTTTATTTTGGATGCGATTAATCACGATTAATCGTTTGACAGCACAGATAGATAGATAGATAGATCGATAGATATAGTTAAAAATCAAACAATTATTTAATTAATTATATAGTAAACAGATAAAAACGACAGTGATAGAACAATACAACCATAGAATGATAGACAGAAAGAACAATGGATATAATGCTAGATAGAACAATAGATAAATAGATATAAATGTTTTCTATCTATCTATCTATCTATCTATATTTTTGATTTGTTTACATTCAAATGAATAAAATATAAATTAAACCAAAAAAAGTGTCAAATTTAAGAACAGATATGCAATTAATAAACTAAAAATTCATATTAAAAATAACAAACAATAAATGAATGAATAAACAAATAAATAAATAATAAATGGGTAGGTAGAAAGGTAGATAAATAATATTCAAAAAAGTATATGCAACTACAAAAATTTATTAATATATAAATAAGTAAATTAATAAATGAAATAAAACAGAATTAAATTACATTAAAAATGAAATAAAAATATAAAATAAGAATGTCCAAAAAATGCCTTTTGTCGGTTCTTACCAAAGTATTCGTTCAGGAAGGCGAGGGAAGCGAGGTAGCAGCCAAGACTGATAAGTTCGGCTACAACCATGAGCCAGTGCCAGGTGCGGACCGTCAGCGCCACCATCAGCAGCTCCGTCAGGATCAGAGCAGTGAAGGAGATCGCTACCACATGCACAAACTCCTGATCGAACAGCACCAGGGCCCCGTACATCAGGATGCCCCCTGGTGGACAAACAGGAGAAACGTTTGAGATGAACCACCAAGGACTGAGATAAAGCTGTCAGTTTAGTGTTATAATGAGTATAAACACATGTGCCTGAAACACATTAGTAGTTAACAAATTAAACAGGGGAACAACTAACGATAAAAAAACAGATCCGCTAGGGTCATTTAGACTGCAAGACCTGACAAATCCATAAGGTTTACTGATGTCCATCTAGAATGAGTTTCTTCTGTGATTTCTTGACCCTCGCTCACAGTCTGATCCCCATTCACACATGAGCGTGTTGAGCTCTGACCTCTGTTCACGAAGCACCACGCTCACTCGGCTCCTCAGCCTACTGTAACCGTCTCTGCTTTCATTTTAATCATAAACGCCAGCGCAATCCAGCCTAATGGCCTCTAACTGATCACATAATTGCCTCTCTTCATACAGCGAACATTCCTCGGGGTTACTCTCTGGACTAAATGAAATCTTTGCTCATATTTCCCTGTTGTTCTTGTCTCGCTGTATTAAGGTTTAATTAAAAAGCAGGAGCTGTCAGACGGGGATACTGATCTCTCTTGCTCACTGCGCGGATCGATTTACAGTGCGGATAAGGCAGCCGTGTGAGAGCTGGCGATGGTCCGAAAATCACATTCATGAAAAGAGCTCCACTGAATTCACAAGAGACAAGTTACATTCCGCTTCAATGTTTACTTCTTTGATGAAACGTTCAGAGTTTATTTGTAGAGAACATCTGTTTATGGTTAGTTTATAGATGTCATGTTATCTCAGATTGGATTGGTTTTTTTCACGTTTACATTTCCCTTACGTTTGTTCAGTAAATTTTTACTTTAGACAATCCCTCTGGATCAACCGAGGCACAATGGTAACTCGTGAATCACTCCTCCTGAGCTTCCAACCGAATTCTAAAAGATGTGTCTAAGCCTTTTTAAAAAATATTTTCTGCAGTATTACACCAGCATAATATACAGAGAAAACTACAAAATCTGTTTTTACTATAAAAAGAGGTTAGCTGGTTGGCTGGCTGCTAAAAAATAAATATTATTTTTGCCATTCCATTTGATAAATATCGGGTTACAGAAATGACACCATTTACCATTAACCATCAGGTTAGTTACATTTTACCTGATTGTTTCAATTCTAATGCAATTATTTACTAAACTGTGTGATGCATTATACAAATCAGAAATTTGTTCTGATTTGTTCATGTTTTTTTAAAGAAGTCTCTTACCTTCACCAAGACTGCAGTTATTTAATTAAAAAAATACAGTAAAAACAATATTATAAATATTATTACAATTTAAAAAGACAGTTTTCTATTTTATATATTTTAATATATAATTTATTCCTGTGATGGCAAAGCTAAATTTGAAAGCAGCCATTACTCCAGTCTTAAGTGTCACATGATCATTCAGAAATCATTCTAATATGCTGCTTTGGTGGTCAAGAAAGATTTCTTATTATAAATGCTGAGAACAGTTGTGCTGCTTCATATTTTTGTGGGAATACATAAATTTTTTCTATTGATAAATAGATGGAAAATTTTTTTATAAAAAAAATAGATTAAAATATTAGAACTGAATCCGGAATTAAAATGTACTGTCATTTTTGATGAGTTTAATGCATCCGTGTTGAATAGAAGCATACATTTCTTAAAAAAACTAAATAAATAGCAGGGTATATACAGGAATAATGGAGTTAAATTTAATATCTTTTAAGACCTTTTTTAACACTCTTTCCATACATATTAAGACCTCATCGCCACTCCAAGTTTTAACTGGTTACATCAGCGACACTTTAAATTACATTTACTATATATTGATTGTAAGATAGCACAACTAAACAGACTTACTTTATGATAACTCCTTATCAATACAACATAATTCAGAAGGGGGGGGGAACGAAGCACAAGAGAATTAATTGAGTGACTAACCAATGCAACCCAAGAAACAAGAATTAGACTAATAAACAAAACAACTGACAAAACTTGCTGAGGAGGGAAAATAAAAATAAAGCTCTCCGAGCTTACGGGGTATACTCATACAGTATATTCAAAAGATGTATTTGTCACATTAACTCTTATAACTGTCTGCAAACCATAGCTGTTTTGTGGAACACTTCTCATGACAAACATCTGACTAATCAGACAGTTTACCTTAAATTGTTTCAGTACAAGCATTTCAACCAAATCTAATTTATGCAATATTTCAAATCTTTAACCCACTGGGGAAAATCAACCCATGGCAACAGTTTAAAAGCAGCCCAATTTCGTGGAAAAAAACAACAACAACCCTGCATCCAACACGAGCTGCAAAAGTCAGATTTGACTGATCACAGGTCAAAAGTAAGCATATTTAGTTTTTAAACCTCCATTTAAACTTAAAAATTCTGTGGCTCTATGTGTGGTTCCATGTCAGTTTTTTGCACTGACATAAAGTCACATTAGGGTTGTGCCGATAGACATAGAGATAGTATCGTGTATCGACGATAGTCAGAGATATCGACGATAGCAGACATCTTTGTCGATATTCAAGACGATATTAGGCTCAATCTACTATTAATGTATAAAATAATAATAATAATTATTAGGCGGCCTATTATAATTTGGCTATTATTATCAAATTGCCCCGCTTTTTACCCCGGAGTGCTGTATGACAGATGTAACGTTATCCGTTTAATTTAAATGTACTCCAAATATATGAACTTACCTGTTTTAAATACTTTATATTTAACGTGTTCATTTATGTCCAATATTTAGTGTTTAACTGCTGGTCTTTAAAATAAATCTACTTTTGATTTTCACTGTTGACTGATTTTGCAGACCTTTTGGACTGATATCTTCCATGCGTCGATGCGGCAAACTTGTCAAAGGACGCGCGGTCCTAAAAGCGATGTACGACTGTTTTATCCGAATATATATATATATATGAACTAGCTGTTTTAGATATTTTTGTATTTAACATGTTAGTTTATCAGTATGTTTGAAAGTATATTATTTAGATTCGTGGTGCTTCCATAGGCTCCCTCTCTCTCGCACGCACGTGTGTGCTGTTTAAAGCACAAAATAGTTATGAAATAGCCTATGACAAGTACAGAGAGTCTCTCTCTTGCCCCCATGATAATATCGTCTATCGGCGATCTCACGGACTGGCAATATAACACTAAGTCACATTTTCAAATTCAGTGCAGCTAGATCACCCCCCCCCCCCCCCCACCCCCCCCCCCCCCCCCCAAAAAAAAATCTTTGATGAGCGTAAAGGCTATTTGTGAGTTGCAGTTTACAGTCATACAAAAATATAAAACATCACTCTTCATTTACCTTGATATACACTTATCAAAACCCAGATCAGGAAGGTCTTAAAGGACAGGGAGCGACCCTAGTGGAGGGAAAACCAAAGTCAGCATCACTGTCATACAGCAAACAAACTCATGCCTTCATTCCTGTAACTTATATCAAGTGTATCATGCAGATACTTGAGCTGATGGTTAACTCTGATCAGAGCATGTGAGCGGAGCGGTAATATTTCCTTAAGAGCGCGGAGCGCCTTTCTGAAGATTCCGCTCCGCTTGCTCAATACGCTCAGTGCCGCTCGCTCAACCCAGAATGCCGTTTGGTGATTTGCTTGTTCGAGATCGAGAATCTGTAGAGATCGAGAATAGTAGAGCAGTTATGAAGTTCAGATATTGTTTCAACGAAGTTGCAAGCCTTATACATAAATGTAAAGTAAAAATCAAAGTTAAGAATGAGCAGGGAGAAGAAACTGAGAGGGAGTGCGGGGAGACTGTTAAAGTTAGTACAGGTTCATATTGATTACAGAAAGCATGAAGATGTATGCAAACATGGTGCAGCAAAAGGTGAGCTAGTTACATACCATAATAAATGAATAAACAGGTAGGCTAAGGTTATATTCGGTTGTATGGAGCCCCGATCATGACATGCAGACAAAATCACGTCCACAAATTTAGAATAGGCTAGTTCTCTTTTATGCTAGGACTACATTATGGCCACGAATTAAGAATTCATTTTTTCGTT